ACTCTGACAGACTATCAGAAATATACTTCCCCAAAAATCTGTTCTTTCTGTTAGCAAAAAAAAGTATGTGATTGTCTCTTTTCTCTGTAAGTTTCCACAACTTTCTATCCGTTAGCGAAAGAACAGAAAAAGTATGTATTTGTCTCTTTTACCTGTGAGTTTCCACAACTTAAACAATAAGTTTTGAACAGAAGATGAAATTTTTCTGAATGGGATTCTACATGCCAGTGACCTGCAAAAATGCAATAAGCCTAGAAGAATGAAGTTAGTCTCTATTAATAAGCTCCTTGAGCCTGCTTTTATTGTATAAAAAGTTAGAGCTATCCAGTTGCTTTACAAATTGGGAGTAACTTTTACCAATTATTGGCTAGCTGCAGAAAAAGAAGATATTTGTCTCATAACACTTTCGAAGAAAGCATATAGCGGTCCCCTATGAAGGTGTCCATGGAAAAGTTAAGACATGCTAGCTATCTGCCTTTTCACCCCATTTAATATTTCTATGACCAAAAATTAATATGAAAATAATGTGAGTCCACCGATTTCTGTCCTATATTCTTTTAATTAGTGATTTAATGATTTAATGGTGCAAAATAAAAATGGTGTCCTTGAATTTATCATAGATGTGGTTGCTATGTTATTAACTAATATGCCTCCGTTATTGTTAAAATCTCAACCTGACAAGCTGTAACTGCATTAGGCAGCCGTAGAGAGCAATTTATATCTGTAGATGAATATATATTATTGCACGTATTCATACTTTGATTAAAAAGTTCTTGTTTTCCTCTAATTTTTTAATACAATCATTACCGAGAAATTACTTTTAAAGCATAAATATGAGGTTCGATAGTCTGATGTAATACTATGCACATAACTCAAACTGTGTTCAGAATCCGACTATGTCCGTATATCCGTTGTGCCCACAAACCTGTTACCTTAAGCCTGACAATACTGTTGCAAACGATATTTTGATATGGAGATCATTGGTAACATCACAATTAGTACATCCCTTGGGCATGTTATAAAAGCAGATGTGATTAAATAGACTTTGAAACTCTGTACCTCGAAAAATATCTAGGATGGATTCCCTCCACTCCAACTATATGATTTTTGCCGTTTCTTATAAAAATGAATTATCTCTGATCTTCATAGGTTGTTTCCAGGAAATACACTAGCTTTAAGAAATAAAAGGCATGCAGAAACTGTATGTAGTGTTATATCAACTTAATGAATTAATTTGTATAACTTGTCCAGAAAATATAAAGATTGTATGGAACACCTAGCATAATGTAATTTGTTATAAACTCTATGAACAAATATTAGTAAAGAAATATTAGTAAATTAGTAACTACGTATCTGTGCACTTTGGGCTATCAGTTAAAGTTACATACTTTAATTGTATCAAATTGTGGTATTTTGTTAAAAACTGTAGTTTATAAGAAGGAATTTACCTCTTAGTTAAACAGCTTAAATATTTATTAAGTTAAGCAAGCTAAACAATTTATCTAACTTTTAGTATAAAAACTGCAGTAAATATCAATTTTTTGCTTTTTTAATAAAGATTTCTTTGTGAGTTGAATTAAAAATGCAAAATTAAAAGTGTAGAAAATTGACAGAGTAGAATGATAAGGATATTGTGATTTTATAGTTTTAAAATTGAATTTAAAATAAACAATAGACGTCAATTGGGATACCTATTTGTCAGAAGGATGCTTCGTTACATATTATGAATATACAATGGATTTTTTATATCCAATATATTACTTGTTGTTATTGTAAAAACTAATGTTTATTAAAAGTTCAACTCTATTGTTAGGATTTAATATTCTATTGTTAGTAAACGACAATTTGGACGGTATAAAGTAAAATAAAAATAAAATTTGTTTGTAAGTCCTTTATAATGGCTGTAATGTGAATGAAAATTGATCATCCATACTAAACACTTTTTATGAATACACTTGAATGGTAATATCACTTATACTCAGACTAGCTGTATAGTCTGCAATTACTGTGATAGTAACATCATAAGTTTTTATTGGAAAGGGGATACAAAATAGTATTTTTTAAAATACCGTTTTAATTTCGTAAAAGATGTTTCATTTTATTTTAAAATTGTTTTTCGATTAAGGCTTTTATATTTTTAATAGAATACCAGTATATAATTAGTAACTGAATACTTAAAAATAATGTTGTGAAATACTTCTAAACTTCACATGTAGTGCATATCTCTTTTTCGGATACATTTTCAATTTACTATCAATTTCCTCGAAGAGTTCTAGAATCTAAAAATCGAAATCTAAGCTTAGTCTTAATCTAGAAATAGTCTTTTAGTTCGACTACATTCAGAATCCAATGAATTCTCCAATCAAAAGTAATGCCACACTGAATTGATGAATGAATGCGATTCAATAAATAATTTCAATCTGTATAAAAATACATTAGCGATTTCAGCTCTTGACATTCAACAAATAGATATTTAATAGTGATGAATATCCAAACCAGTTTTTCTTATATTTGGAAATATATTGATATTGAGTAAATGGGAAGAACTAAGAGCATTCTGAAACATTACTGCAGAGTTATTATTTATTACTTTAATAAAAATCCAAACATTTAGGTAATCCAGATATTTCGATAATCTGAACACTTGGAACATAATTACTTGGAGCAGCAAAACCATACTGTATGAAATATTAAAAAACTGCTGTATTAGTATAAATAATCATAAAGTAAACTGAAAAAAAAAATTTCATAGTGTCAGAAACATGACACAAAGGATCATCAAAATCAGTTGAAAGAACATTTTCGTTGTATAAATTTGGAATTCAAGTCAAAGATTTTATAATTATCATAAAGCATTAATTATAAAGAAATCAAATTTTTTTAATAATGAACATTTAAGACAAAAATATGATTTTATTTCAGTTATCTCAACAAAGAATTCGCACAATATACTAAAATATAAAACCAGAGGTCCATTTAGACAATGACAAAAATAATTTCAAAAAAATTTAAACTTGTCAATACACAAGTAAGCATTTTTATTTTGGATGCTTAGAACAAAATGACCGAATTCTAAAACTTAAAATCGAATATAAAAATATGATAAAATAATCTAAAATAAGTGTTTGAATCATCAAAAAGCATATTTGGCCGATTTCATTTTATAAAAATTTAGAGATTTTTAAGAATTTTATTTCAGTTGCCAATAATAAAATTATTTTGCTAAAGTGCAATTTCCCTGTTCAATAGGAAGTCGTCC